TGCACCTTGATAGGTAATGTTCATTTTTATTTGTTGACCTTGGGGGCCAATCACTGAACATATTCTTGGGATACCTTCAATGTACTTAACAAAAACATCAAAGTTTATTACAAAGAAAATAAAGGAACTGTTTTATACTGTCCAAGAACTATTTGAACTAGTGTTAATACAAAAAAAAACTCAACCCTTTTTTAGCCTAAACGACAGTCTTACAGATTCTCAAGCCTTAGAGAAGGGTCAGCCTGTCTCCATTTAAAATTTCTTGTCATTTTGCATGACTGTAATTGTTCTCTGGAGGTGTCTTCTCACTTACTTTGAAATGGTTTGAGATTAAACTCATAGATTTTTCAGCAGTTCTCTGCTTCTGGAATTTCTTTTGAAGCTACTCGAGACTTTTTTTCTCAAAAAAAAACTGCTAAATTAACAACACCTTGTTTTGCTTTTACTGAACATGCACAAATAGCCTGACAACCCCCTCTTTTCTGCCTCCCTGAGTCATTAGTCTCCTGGTTGCCAGGTAACAGCAGTAATCTCCGCCCCCCCCCCCCCCCCCTCCCCCCGCAACCTCCTTGTTTCTAATGCACTGAATTGTTCACCTCAAGCTCTACTCCAAGGCCGTAAACCTTCAATTATAATGAATATTTCAGGAATCTTCAAATACCATGACAGCGTTCAGAACAAATCTAACATCAAACTAAAACCACATCTCTCCTCCCTAACACACACAATGTAGAAATACAAATCAAACTTGAAGCTCAAATTTCCAAATAATTTTAGTTACATATTGTGAATCTTCTTCACAGTTGATTTTTGTCTCATCTGCATTGGTTTAACTTTGTTTTAGCTACGATATAATGGATTATTGGAAACCATCCAGATTCGTAAAGATGGATATTCGTGGAGACCATTCTTTAAGGAATTTGCAGAAAGGTACAACAGCTTTCACTTAACGTGGTAAACATCCTGAGAACAAGACGAGAGAAAATTGTCAGTAGAACAGCATAATTGAAAGCATAGTAAATGGAAGGCTTTGCAAGCCAGGAGGACAGTATAATAGTGGAAAGATTACAAGAAATTGAGAGTAAGGCTGAAGCTGCTGGTGGTGGAAGGGAGGTGGTACAGCACCTTCTGTAAATGTCTGAAGTTATGGATAGGATCTTGCAAGTTAACTTTAAAAGCAAGAATTTTAATTTGAAAACCACGTCTTGAAATCAGGCATCAAGGTGCAGTATCCGAAAGCTTAAATATTTGTAGTGAGATGCATAGTCTTAATTTGTAATTTTCTTCTTGCAGATATGGCATACTGCTTATTACACCCAATATATCACTTACTAAAGAAAGGTAAAGTGAAAACAAAATCTCTTCTGAAACAGTAATATTTTTAACTGAAAATGGCTCTGAATATTTAGTTATGGAATTCTTTTTGTTAAATAGTTGGTAAATTTTAAATAGTTCCGCAGGTCATGTTCACTTTAAGATTCATAAATGGTGAAACTAAAATAAGATATCAAAGGTTCATTGGAAACAAGAGTTTGTTTTTGATTTGGGTGAGCAATCAATGTTATACTAAAGAAGATGAAATAATATTGGTAAACATTAATATGGAAGAGATTAATATCTTAATCCATTCCATATCTCTGTCTGAGTGTTATTATCACTCCGATTTCTAGATCTCTCTCTCTCTCTCTCTCTCTCTGTCTCTGTCTCTGTCTCTCTCTGTCTGTCTCTCTCTCTCTCTCTCACTCTCTGTCAAACTGTGGCTGAAGACAAAAAAATGTGAGCTCATGCAATAGAAGTGATTCTGAAGCTGCTGTATTCTAAATGCTTTAGTCAATTGCAAGATGTAGCTTTCCTTGCCATTGCTTCAGTTTTCACCTGTATGAGATGGAATGTAGTTCATGGCAGTTAAGTGGAATCTGTAGAAATACATCATGCCACTCGATTTAATCATCTTAAACAGAACTATGGGAGTGAGTTTTCATGGGGCTGTTCCCACTGCACTGTTGATACTGTAACAAATGTTTGGTGTAAATCTTATCTCCCCATGTAAATAGAGCTTGTGCCAAAACTCTAATGGAACAGTGAGAGACCATGGGAATCTGTCTACCCACGAGGTTAAATAGAGAAAATACTTAACGAACAAGTTTTATAAGCATTCTACTCATTCAACAGAGGCATTTGCTTTCTTTTTATTTTGAAGAGCTGCCTTCAGCCTCATTTGCAAACTGTCAGAAGAAGACTTGGTCAATAACTTCGGTCAAAACCCTGCATATTGACTTCAAACAATGGTACCAACCGAAAGCAGAACAGTTTCCAAGCAGGATCATTAGCAAACTGACTGACTGTCTAGATTCAGTTACCGATATGAGATGAGTTTAGAGAGATAAGTGACAGTAATTGGCTAAAAGAACAGGAGGAGGAGAATCAGGCTGACCTGTACATGGCTATACCGTGAACTCGCCTAGAAAATAGGCATGTCCTGTCTGGTTAGATGCTTAAACAGGCTCCCACAACATACTATGCAGCCTTACACAATAAGACAGATGACTTGAACAAAGAACCAGACATTGAGGGTACAGTGTCTCTCGCTCGCGCGCTCCCCCATCCACTTCCAAACACCTGCTTTGCTGGAAGTAAGTTTTGCATCATCTGTATATAAAGATTAGCAAGAAAAATTTAAAATGCCCAAGTGACAAGCCCTACCATTTTAAGTTAGTGTCAAGCGTTAACTAGATAATACACTTGCCTCCGTTTTAGCAGGTTGACGCTCAGGCTTCACACAGGAATTGAGCACAATATTTACAATGTGAGGCTGTGTGAGAGCTGCAGTTTTGAAGACATTGTCCTTCAAGTGGCCTTAGTTTGAGGGCTGAGCACTCTCCTGAATTTATATCTCCTCGTCAGATTGATGGGCTCATATTGTTTGATGGAGTTTGTTCTGCACAGGACGGCTGTGTTTGTTTACGTTATGTTTTCAAAATGAGATACTATGGGCCATTTCTTTTGAAATGTTATCATGCAAATCTATCTTGTTGTGATGATTCACTTTTCTGTTTTCTTCATAGTTGCTTTGCTATTCTTCAAACCACAGGCCTGAAGGACTGGAAGTCTGGGTAAGTTTGAATGAATCCAGAGGTGGCATTGTTGAGAAGCAGGATGAATAAGTCTGATATTTGTAAAAATTACATTCTGTGCTCATTAATTCAGGCTTAACAGGAAACATAGCCTGTAGGTAATTACTGCTCCTCAAGCACAGGGGGATACACAACAGATTGCTTATCTTTGGAAAGGGAAAGAATTTGAAATCGAGTGGGGATCCTACATCTATCCTGATGAAACATTCAACCTCAGCAGTAGCATGTGCTTTCTTCACCGCTAAATCATAAACTGCAGCATCTCCTGCTCGATGTATATGTTGCCATTCCACAAAAATGCGTGTTCTTTCTTTTTCCTTCTCAATTTTTATTTCAAAGCAGTTTTCTCAACATCCTTCAATTAAAAGCTGCAAGGCATCTTGTTCAAAAAAAAAAAAATTTCCCATGCCCTCTTCTCTGCACAGCCAGCCTGATTGGCAGATCACATGGCTAATCCTGCAGTAGAAGGATGTAGCTAGATTGGATTGAAAATAAGGTCTAATGAGGCTAGAGAGAGTTTGTGGCAGGTGTGAGGGACAGATGGTGGTTGATGAGTTGGGTGTGTACTGAGCTTTTAAGAGCCTGAAGGGAACAACTGTAGCTCCTCCTTGCCCATAAGCAGTGCTGTAAAAACTATCTACTTTATAGATTCAGCACTTTTCATCTCCTTTCACATGCCAGGTTTCCTGAGATTCTGGTTAAAAATTGAAGTGTTTGAATGGCTAGCCTACTTGCTGCAAGTGGATTAATCATTTGACATTTTAGGACATGGTAAATAGGAGCAAAAGGAAGCTTACCACTCTTTGAGCCTGCTGCACCATTTAAAAATATCATGACTTGTCCTCAACTCTGTTCCAGACAACCCCAATTTCCATTGATTCTCTTAGGATTCAAATATTGATCGATCTCAGCCTTGAATACACTGATGATATAAGAAGTGATCTCTCACCTGAACAAAATGTACCTGCATTTGAGGATTAAAATGTCCTGCATCATTACTTCTGGTTGAGCTAACAACCAGAGTGTGTAAATTTAACCGTCTCATCGAAAGAACAAAGCCATAAATTACCATCATTTGTTTTAACGTCGAGGGCTTATGGACATTTGCAATGATCTATGTGAACCATGATAGAAGCACAGTCCATAAAAACCTAAGGTGAAAGAGTAGAGGAATCAGATGAAATAGCTAACTGAAAAGTTGACCTGGGCTAAACGGTGCATCCTGATGAGTCCCAACCCAAAACATCGACTTTCCTGCTCCTCGGATGCTGTCTGACCTGCTGTGCTTCTCCAGCTCCACATTTTGTCGACTCTGACTTCCAGCATCTGCAGTCCTTGCTATCTCCTGAATGGTGCACTCTGTGCTGTAAAATTCAAATTCCCTTCACTACTTCCTGTGAAATCATTGAATTCTTATTCTGTGATAATGATGACCTTTCAGTACTTTTGCCTTGGTGTGCAGGAAAACACCTTTCAGGAGGGGACATCACAACTAGTCTCAATATTGGTCTTGCCCCCTTCTCTGTCTGTGTCCGGCTAGTAATCAACACAATGAAGTCTAACGCAGGGCCTGACTACAGTAAGCACTTTCAGATCAAACAATTCATTATACTCTGCAGAGTCAAACCTAGGAATGTTCTGTTCAGTGTAGCTCAGGCCATTGGCAAAGCTGCTCTTTCAGTTTGTATAATCTGTTCACCTGGAATCCCTACAGTGCAGAAAGAGGCCATTTGGCCCATCACGTGTGCACTGACCCGCCGAAGAGCATCCCAACCAGACCCTCTACCCTATCACTGTAACCTAACGTTTACCATGGCCTACACGTTCCTGTACACTATGGTTAATTCAGCATGGCTAATCCACCTAGCCTGCACATCTTTGGACTGTGGGAGGAAACCGGAACACCCAGAGGAAAACCATGCAGACACTGGGAGAATGCGCAAACTCCACACAGACAGTCGCCTGAGGCTGGAATCGAACCCGGGTCCCTGGCACTGTGAGCCACTTTGCTGCTGCTTCTGATTTAGTTTTGTTGACTTCGAAGGTCTGTTAACATCTGTAGTTCCCCGGCATTTGTACGGATAATGCTAGATAAGCCAGGCAGGATCATAGAATCATACAGTACAGAAGAGGCCCTTTTGGCCCACTGAGTCTGTACTGCCAAAGCTACTTGAAATCTACACTAGCCCCACTTTCCCGCTCTGGGGCTTATAGCTTTGAATGTTATGATACTTCAAGTGCTCATCCAAGTACATTTTTTAAAGGTTGTGAAGTTACCCACCTCAACTACCCCTGCCAACTCCAGGCAGTACATTCCAGGTCCCTACCACCCTGTGGGTGAAAAAGGTTTTCTCCAAGTCTTCCCAAACTTCCTATCTTTCACATTTAAAATTATGCACCATTGTTATTGACCATCTGCTGACATGTCCTGATCATAAAAAGTTTTACATAGAAATAATCTAAAGATGCTCCTTGAAGATTTCATGTGGTAGGGCTGCGATTATTTCCTTTGGCCTCTTGTTTCATTGAGGTTGCCCTGGGAAAGAGCGATTGTTGAATCACTGTGAAAGATTAATATTCCTCTAGCTGTAAGTGTTGATCTTCCATACAGCTTCACTTGGGAGTTTGATAGGGCTTCCTAATGCTAATAAGTCTGTGCGTAAAGCAAGAAATTATACTTCTATTTATGCTGTTTTTATGCCATTAATGCATAGCAATCACAATGTAACTAGTAAAAACATTTCCTTGGTTAACAAGTGAAATCAGAACTCTTAGTCATTTTAAATTACAATACAATAGTAACAGACCGTCACACATAAAATATTGCATGGTTGAGGTTGGTTGGCTCGCCGAGCTGGTTTGTTGTTTTGCAGACGT